GCTGGAGGCAGGAGAGGACAGGACTTCCTCTTCCCCTGCAAGGAGTGGCTGGGGCTGTCAGACTCACCCCCAGAAACCTCCCCCAGCTGCAGGAAGTGCAGCTGCCTCCCCTGCTTCCTGCCCCCATCGCTCCTCAGCTGCAGGGGAGGGGTCACTGTATGGGGAGCTGGTCCCCCATCTGCCCAACCCCCGTGCATCTGGACTTCTCATACCCAGACACCCCCACCAAGCCTCACCCCACATCCAGAACCGCCCTAGTCCTCCATATCTGAACCCTAGCCCACTGAACCTCAATCCCTGAATCTGGAGCCCCCCTGCACCCAGACACTCTGCCTCGGGACTCCCACCCCTGCACCCAGACCACCCCCCACTGAGCTCCCTGCACTCAAACCCCCACCCTGATGAGTCCCACCCCCACATTCAGACCCCCATACCCCTGACCCCCAACTAGCTGCACCTAGACCCCCCCCACCTCACCAAGCTTCACTCCCCCAGCACCCAGACCCCTCTACTTCAGAGACAGCTTACAAAATACAGAGTTAAATGGCGGGGGGAAGGGATATAAGAGACAAGCCAAGTGATCAGGGTGGCAGCAGACATGCAGTGTCTCTGACAGAGTCATAGAGTTTAAGGCCGGAAGGGACCACCAGATCATCCAGTCTGACTACCTGTATTTCACAGGCCACCAGCACCACCCACATGCTAAACCCAACCATCAGAATTAGATCCAAATATCACAGCCCACAGGAGACTAGGCTATGATGTGCCACAGGCAGAGAATGGGAGAGATTGAGATACACCCGCGCCAAAGGCCCCACAATGGCAGAGAAACATTGAAGTGAGATGTACCCAAATAATTCCGGCTAGTGACCTGCACCCCCACATGGCAGAAGAAGGTTTAAAAAAAACCACAGGTCACTGCCAGTCTGACCTGAGGGAAAATTCCTTCCTGACCCCACATATTGTGATCAGTCAGACCCTGAGCACATGAGCAAGAACCAGCCAAGCATCTGAGAGAGAATATGCTCAGTGCCACCTCAGATCCCTGACACTCCCCATCCAGTGTCCCATCTCCAGCTGTGGCCATCCCTGATGCTTCAGAGAGAGAAAACAAAGCACATACCACCAGAGTACCTGGGGGACAGGGATCCCTTCCTGACCCCTGCAGGTGACCAGCTGGAGCCCTGAAGCATGAGCTTCAGAACATAAGCCATAAACCAGAAGGCGCCCCCCGGGCTGCCAAGCCCTGCCCCCTACCAACATAAGAACGGCCATACTGGGTCAGACCAAAGGTCCATCTAGCCCAGTATCCTGTCTGCCGACAGTGGCCAAAGCCAGGCGCCCCAGAGGGAGTGAACAGAACAGGGAATCATCAAATGATCCTTCCCCTGTTGCCCATTCCCAGCTTCTGGCATCACAAGCAACCCCGTCCCACAATCACTCATACATTTCTCCAGCTTTCTCTCAAAACTAGTTAAGTTGTTTGCCCCACTGACCCCTTTGGGAGGCTGCTCCAGAGCCTCCCTCCTCTGACGGTTAGAAACATCATCCGAATTTCCAGCCTGAATTTGTTCATGGCCAGTTTATCCTCATTTATTCCTGTGCCAAGACTTTCCTTCAGCTTCAATAGCTTTGCTCTCCTTGGTGTTTTTACCCCTTACCCCCACCCGGATGTATTTATACAGTGCAATCCGTTTCCCTCTCAGCCTTCTTTTTGCTCAACTACACTAGCCAAACTCTTCCTCCAGACTCTTAGCACTGGGATTGTTTGGTTTGGTGGCTCTCCGGGTGGAAGGATGAGAGCGAAGGGATTACTGAAGTAAGGAAGACTAGTGGGTAAAGGGGTAGGGAGGGGAGGTGGTGAAGGAAAATAATGTACAGCATGAGGGGCTCATTAGAGCTATTTGGAAACATATGGGACTTGTAGAAATTACTGAGTACACCAACAATCCCAAGGACAGGGCTAGCTTCACTGGACTTCCTTTTGAACTGGTGGATGGTGTTCATTCGGAAAAGTAACTGAAACAAAATTAAACAGCGGTGCCCTAATTATCATTTACTGGCCTGCAGGGACTAGGGTCCAGTTCCCCATTCCAGGGGACGATCCTCCCAGCACAGTTCAGGCCTCACTGAGCAAGAAAGGAGGAAATTCAACTGGAGAAGCCTGGACATTTACAGCCTCCTCCCGACAGCGCCTGCCAGAGTGGAAGAGCGTGCAACGGAGAGCGGAGGGAATTCACAACTAGCGCGAGAGCAGGTTGGATTCCTCAGGCTCTCCACTGAACAGGCCCTTTGTCCAGGGAGGAGGCGAAAACACAGGGAGAGGAAGAAAATAATTTCAAGCACATCCCATAAAGGATCTTAGGAGCAATGGGTGGCAATAACTGTCTGGTTGCTTGTAGCCTTACTCATTTTGTATAGGACTCCAGTATCCGGGTGATAGGTGCATTAGAGAAGGGTGGAAAGATGCTACAGCAGAGGAAAAGGATCAGCATTCGTTATGCTGCAATGTATCTGGCTTCAAGTCACATTTCCCAGCACCAGGGCTCCAGCTTCCTTCCTTATTGTGTCATTGTTCACAGGACACAAGTAAACCATGGTGAGGGAACAGGGGATGTCTAGGTGCCGATCTGTTCATGTTTGTGAATAAGGAATTTTTAGAGTATTCCACTAGACTGGGCCTGCCTGTCTTCTGCCTGAGATAATACACTAAAAACCAAACCAATCAAATTGGGGGGCTAACGTGTGCTTACCCCCACTGTGCTGCATGTCTACACGAAAGTTCTAACTAACGATTAACAAATTTATTAGAGCATAAGCTTTCGTGGACTACAGCCCACTTCTTCGGATGCATATAGAATGGAACA